TCCCTGCTCCTGTTCAGTGCCCTCTTGCCTGGGTTCTCGTGGCCTCTCCCTGGGGGTCCTCTTTATTCATAGAATAAAAAGGGTCACAGAAAGAAGGGTCCCCCTCTGGTCTGATACCCTCATTTGACAGAGGAGGAAACTGAGGCCCAGAAAGGGGAAGTGACCTAGTGAAAGGGTGGCAGACAGGACTAGCCCCCAGGCCTCCTGCCTGCCTCTCTCCTTCTCCCCTGGGCTCTGCCTGCCGGTCCCCTGCCCAGTGCCTAGACGGGTCTCTTCCCCAGGTCCCTCTCACCCACACTCACCCCCCCGGCTCCCGCTGCTCTCCCTTTTCCTGCCTGCCCTCCACACCCGGACAGTGGCCAGGCCCTGACTGACCCCGCCGTCTTTCCCAACAGTGCCCGAGGCTCCGGTCATCGACACCCAGCGCACCTTTGCCTACGACCAGATCTTCCTATGCTGGCGGCTGCCCCCCCACTCACCACCTGCCTGGCACTACACCATTGAGTTCCGGCGCACAGACACGCCTGCCCAGCCGGGCCCCACCCGCTGGCAGCGGCGGGAGGAGGTGAGGGGCACGAGTGCCCTGCTTGAGAACCCTGACACAGGCTCGGTGTACGTGCTGCGTGTCCGTGGTTGCAACAAGGCTGGCTACGGCGAGTACAGCGAAGACGTACACCTGCACACGCCCCCAGCGCCAGGTGAGTGGCACAGGAGGGCACCGGGGATGCTGGGACCCAGGCAGTCACAGCTGGTGCCGGGTGGGCACCGGAGGGACGGTATGACGCAGTGGGGCGTGTTCGCTAGCTCTGGGGCTAGGCTGCCTCGTTCAGATCCCAGCTGTGCCTCTTGCCCACTGTGTGGCTTGGGGCAAGTTATTCACCCTCTCTGGACTTCACGTTCCTCTTCTGCAGGGATATCAGCAGTATTTACCTCATAGGGCTGTTGCGAGAATTAAGCGACTTGATAGATGTGAAGTCTTAGCAGTCTTTCTGGTTCAATGGCTCAATAAATATTAGTAAAGTAACTCTCCAGAAGAGGGCGGACCCTGGGACATAGGCCTAACAGAGGAGCAGCACCACCCACGTAGGGAGCAGACGGGGCAGGGGCTGGCTGTGAGGACCAGGTGTGGGCTGGAAGGTGTCAGCAGATGGTGGTGGGAATGTCACCATGTGAAATGGAACAGCAGTGGGGACTGTCCACAGGACCAGCCATGGAAAAGGGGTTGGAGAAAGCATTGTGAGTCAACTGGGTCTGGGACACGGGTTTCTGTGCCCACCTGTCATCACTCAAACTCTTCCTGGGGTCCCATGCCCATTTGGGATGCCCCCTTCTTTTTTCTTTATGCCCCCCCATTCCAGTTCTACAAGCCCTGTTCCCGGAGCTGCCTGCCCATCCCTCAGCAACTTGTCCCGTGTCCTGAACTGTCTCAGTGTCTTATGCTAACACCTCACAGTCCCCAGTGCCAGCGTTTGTCCCTGAAGTCCTTCCTTCTGTCTCAATCTCCCCACTCCAGTCCTCCACTTCTTCCTCGATGGCCGCTGGGGCACAAGCCGAGAGCGGCTGACCATCAGCAAGGACCAGAGGGCAGTGCGGAGTGTTCCGGGGCTGCCCCTGCTGCTGGCCGCGGAGCGGCTCCTGACGGGCTGCCACCTGAGTGTGGATGTGGTCCTGGGTGACGTGGCTGTGACCCAGGGCCGCAGCTACTGGGCCTGCGCCGTAGACCCAGCCTCCTACCTGGTCAAGGTGGGCGTCGGGCTGGAGAGCAAGCTTCAGGAAAGCTTCCAGGGCGCCCCTGATGTGATCAGCCCCAGGTCAGGCTTCTCGGGAAGGGACGGGGTGTGGGGGCCCTGGGTGGGGGAGCCGGGGACAGTGCAGGGTGGCAAGGGGAGCACAGGCTCGCAGAGGTGTAGCTGGGAGGAGGTTAACGAGGAAGTAGCAAGATCATGGAAGCCATGCCGGGGGCGGGGGCCTAGGGCCAGGGGCAACGCGGGCTTGGTGGAAGGGCTCTGAGGGTTGATTTTCGGAGTGTGTGGCTGGGGAAACAGATAACAGAAGAGGGGGCCATCTCCACTTCCTCCCATCTGTCACTCAGGACTCATGCACCGTCTCTCCAAGCCTCCCTGTCCTTTCTCCCTAACGGCCCATTTTCCAACAGCCTTTCCTCACCTCCCCTACCTTCTCCACACACATCTTTTCTCAACACCCTAAAATTCCCCCCTTAAACGTCCCAGCTCCAAACCCTCTTCTCCCCAACATCCTACCTAACACCCTCCCACACATCCCCCCACTTAGCCCTCTCTCTCAGCACTCTATGCCCTAATACCCCGTTTGTTCGAAATGCTTTCTCTCCAACACCAGTTCCGTCCCAACCCCGCATCCCCTGACATCCTCATCCGACACCAATGCGCCCTCATGTCTCTCCCGACGTTTACCTTCCCTACATGCTGTCTGCTCTTCCTCTGATCCTCAGAACCCGCTCCCAGCACGATGTCCCCAGTGCCATTTTTCTCACCTCCTTCCTACCTCCATAAGGCTACCTGCTTCAGTGTGCCTCATCAGCACCTTGTCTTTCCTTTGCCCTGGTACCTGACTTCCCCGAACGATTTCCTTTCAATACCCTTTTCCTGCCAAACCAAGCCCCAACCCTGCATTCCAGCCCCAATCTCCTCAGCATGTTTTCTTGTCAATACCCAGAGCGGAGCCTTTCATCCGCTTGCTCCCCAACACGCCACCCTGCCAACGTCGCAGCCCTCTGGTGCCCCACCCCCACTCCCTGACTCCACCCCCCAACACCCTGCTGCCCACCGCCCGCCCCTGCAGGTACGACCCAGACAGCGGACACGACAGCGGGGCTGAAGATGCCACCATGGAGGCGTCGCCACCCTTCGCTTTCCTCACCATCGGCATGGGCAAGATTCTGCTGGGGTCTGGGGCCAGCTCCAGTGCTGGGCTGACGGGGAGGGACGGCCCCGCAGCCGGCTGCACAGTGCCCCTGCCACCCCGCCTGGGCATCTGCCTGGACTACGAGCGGGGCCGGGTCTCCTTCCTGGATGCTGTATCCTTCCGCGGGCTCCTGGAGTGCCCGCTGGACTGCTCCGGGCCTGTGTGCCCTGCCTTTTGTTTCATTGGAGGTGGCGCTGTACAGCTACAGGAGCCCGTGGGCACTAGGCCTGAGAGAAAGGTCACCATTGGGGGCTTCGCCAAGCTGGACTGACCTTCTCAGGCCCCTCCTGGGCCCTGGCCCTCCAAGCCTCCTGGAGCCCGGTTATTCCTCCGGCAGCTTCTCCCTCAGATTCTTCCTTCCATGTGGTCCTGTCCGATACCTGGTGTCTGTGTCTTCCCAGAGCCTTCTCTTGACCAAGGGACTCCCCTCTGCTCACCTCCCTGTATGTCCCCCATTATCTCTATTCCCTGTTAATCCAGGCCTGATCCCCAAGCTCTGCTCCATGGCCTGTCCTGGGCGTCTTACCCAGATCATGGAGAGCGCCCCTGCCCCCCCCCTTCCGCTCCTGCCCTGTGCTCCTCCCCAGGTGGACTGGGAGGGAAGGCTCCTGGAACACTGGGCATGATCCCTGGCTCTGCCCTCTGTCCTGCCAAGCTCTCTGCCCCACTGATGCTGAACTACAGCCTCGGAGCGGGCAGGCTCTTTGGTCAGACACTGCCCAGGCACTCCCTGGTGAGGGGAAGGGGACCCTGTCCTGCTTTATTTATGTGGGTCCCCATAGTCCCCAGCCGCATGCCTCTTACACCCTTCTCCTCCCTCTTGCATGCTTTACTTATCCCGCACCTATGCCAACGTGCCAAGTCTCCCTTGGGGCTCTAGCGGAGGTTGGGTGTCCCCATTGGGTTGGGCCAGGCAAGGCCTCTGGTGCCCGCTGCTGCCCCCCTGCGGTAGGCACTGCTAGGCCTGTGCCAAGCAACAGCTGTCATTTTCATAGTTTATAAATAATAAACTGTGATGTCAGGCACATCTCTGCCTTCCCTGAGCGCTCTCATTCCTTAGTTTCTGTGTGGCAGGCGGGAGGGATCCCGGCTGCCTGAGCGAAAGAGGTTCCCAAGCCAGGCACACCCCAGCCTCCAGTGTTCCCCGCGCCTACGTACCTCGCCCCAGGCCTGAGCCGACCATGGCCTCCAGGGGGCGCATTGCTCTGGTGACCTCGGTCAGTTCCCCGCCCCCACCCCTGACGGGGCGTCCGGGCGGCGGCTCCTAGGCCCCCGAGGGAATGTGGTTGAAGGGGCGGGCACCATGCCTAGGTCCAAAGGGGTCAGTGAATCAGAACCACTTCCCCATTCCCAGGGTGCGGGGAGTAGACCCCATAGCCAGCGGGCGGACGGGGCGGCCGGTGGCCTGGGAGGGGGCGGGCTTGGCGCCAGCCCCGGATCTAACACTTATCTTTGGCCGTGTTGACTCTGCGGCTATTATCGCTGCCTGAGGACTTACTTCACACAGGGGCAGCTCAGAATAGAGCAGCCTGAGGGCATCATGCCAAAGGGAGAGGAGGGCGCGGGCCGCCAGCCCCCGGCTGGGGCTGGGGTGAAATCGGGGGCAAGCCCTGGTCACCTAGGTTTCGTTTCCTCCTTCCTCTTGTGCCGCCAGAGATGGAGGAGAGGTGACGAGTTCTTCCACCAGCCACTCCTGTGCCTCAGTGTCATCTCTCCACACCCCCTGCCGCTGCAATGAACCCAGCTCCTTGCCTTCTTTCCTCCTCGTCTCCTTCCTCTAAGGCCCCTTCCAGAACCTCACACACATTCTCACCACCCCTCCTATCTAAGGGTCACAGATGACAGATCAGAAGTTGGCGACCAGAGTAGAAGAGGCCCACGTTTTATTCAGCCATGTTCAGGTTCCCACTCCCATTTGGGGGCTTTTGGGGCCAGTCCAGGCATGTCCCCAGGGACTCCGATGGGCTTCACCAGGGCCAAGATGGGTTAGGGGGCTTGGTGGGGGTCTGTGAGGGAGGCTGTGAGTAGCCCACCTGAACTCCCAGCTCACCAGTCCAGAATGATGGGGCAGGTGGGGGGGGGGGGCTCTGGCAGTGAAGACCATGAGACAGACAGGCAACTGGCAGTGGCTGGATACTCAGAAGGCGACATGCCCCTACAAGTTCGCTGAAGTGGCTGCCAGGTTCGTGTAAGAGAGACTGCTGCCACCGTTGCCTGCAGAAACCTAGGTGGGGGGGAGGGGTAAAGGGATCCAGGCTGAGGGGCAGCTTTCCCGGTAGAAGTTACCACCCCAGAGCCCCTGAATGGCGCCACAGACTGGGGTCCCCGGTCCAGGGGCCTGACCAGTTCTCACAGGGTTAATTTAGAGAGCACCTGCCAGGCTCCGTCACAGCCAGGTGACTGTAAACAGGGCCAGCCTTCCTCCCTCAGCTCCCCTTCACTCCCTCCCCTTGGTTCTAATCAGCCCCCTTCTCTCCCTTCCCGTCACCTCTCCCTCCATTCTCTGCTCCTCCAGCTTAAGGAGGTGTGTGTGTGCTCATCTGTGTAAAATGGAGAAGGAAGTCCCAGGCGCAGGGAAAATGGGTCAAGAAAAGGAAAGCCCCCTCCCCCACGTGGAGTTCCAGCCCCAGGTGACCAAAGTAATTATTTACTAGGTCCTGGAGAGAAAGGCTGGGGAGGAAAGCAGGAGGAGAGGTCCTTGCTTTCCTGAGACCCTAAGCACCCCACCCCGGCCCACCTGGCTTGGTGAGACTTGGTCCTCCCTCCGCATTGCATCAGAGAAGCCCAACCCACCAGCCTTTCTCAATCTACCCTCCATTCTTAGGAGAAGAGTGGGGGTATAGGTGCTCATTCCTTGTGAGTCCTGCATGAAGGGTTCCCCTGGGCACGGCGCCCCACCCGTTTCACCTCTGGGCATCCCAGCCATGGCCGTGGCACCAGTTCAGCGAACGGTCTTTTGGAAATGCTGGTAGTGGGGACACTCTCTCTTGAGGTTCCCTTTCTTCCATGTGGTCTCCCTCCACTGCTTACTTCATGTCACTTTTCACCTCTTCTAAGATCTTCGGATTTTCCAAGTACCCTCTCAGAACCCCACCCCAGCCAAAACTCCTGTGTCCTTCCACCTGTGGGGCACATCCTCACCTCCTCGTAAGGGCTCGGTTTGATACCGCCAGGGGGCACGTAGCGCCCATGGGTGTGGTAGGTGGGGTACTCGCTCATAGGATGGTAGGTGTCTCGCGTTGGAAAGATGTCCAGCTGCCCACAGTTCTTTCGGCGGCACTGACACACAGCCTGGGGACATAGGAGGTTAGGGGGGGCCACCGAGTTCCCTCTGGCAGGGGAGCTCTGGTCAGGGCCGGAGACTAAGCATGCACTTACCAGGGCCATGAGATAGATGATGGCCAGCACAACCAGAACACACACCAGCACCAGCAGGGCAATGCCCCAGCCGGGTACCCCAGACCCAGGCTGGGCAGAGGAAGGAAATGACACATCATCCACTACAAGGAAAAGCAGTGGTCAGCGCAGTCTCCCAAAGGAGGTGACCCTCCCCGGGGAAGAGCCGGACAGAGAGCGACCCTGGAGGCATGGTCCAGGCCCAAAGCAAGGGAACTGGCCTCACCACTAAAACTTGTGATTGACAGGTTGTATCTTTCGGATGCTTTTGATGCCTTTTGTTTAAACTGTGCCTCCACCTCGCTGGTATTGGTGGTGCCCTCTTGGAAGGCCAGAGCTGATTCCACCACCACGGATCCTGGTCTGCTCAGAGAAACGGGCAACTCAACCAAGGGTCCCAGCTTCTAGGCACTTCCCCCCAACCACGAGTGTACCAGTGCTTCCCCAAAGACATGACAACATCCGCCCACCCCAGATAGAGACCTCGCCCACAACTGTACCTGAACTTTATGTCAGAGGAGCCCAGAAATCCCTCTTGTTTATAGATCTGCAAAAACTGGGGTGAGAAGGAAAGCACTGAGGCTCGATGCATGGGTTCCAGCGGCTCCAAGAGCTGCTGCAGGGGGAAGGGGGCACGTGGAGGAAGGCCAGATACTCACCAAGTTGGAAATGTTTCCCTGCAGCTCCTGGTAGTAGTGGCTTTTGGGATCTTCCAGGGAAGAGTTAAACAGGCGGTTCGAAATGCGAAAGGACAGGAAGAACAAGGAGATCCTGAAAGATGACTGGGGAGAAGTCTTATGGCTGGTGGAGGTGGGGGGTTCTACGCTATGCTTAGTGCTACTGGCAGTAGTCCTGGTTCTGTGGCTGGCAGGGGTGGTGGGAGTATCAGAGTGATGGCTGGAAATTGAAGATGAAGTGCCCTTGCCAACTGGGATTGTGGTAGCCTTGGCAGAGCTGCTTTTGTGTGCTGGCGTGGTGGCCGGTGTCGTGGCAGGGCCGGCGGTCTGGGACGAGGTGGCATGGGAAGCTGGCGTGGTGGCCGGTGTCGTGGCAGGGCCGGCGGTCTGGGACGAGGTGGCATGGGAGGCTGGCGTGGTGGCCGGTGTCGTGGCAGGGCCGGC